ACCCTGCCAGGTATCTTTCCCCTGGAATCCAAACAGTGGGTATAAGAATTGACAGAATTGACATGACTCACAATAACTTAGAGATGTGTTAACCAAGAGAAAAAATTAATTCCTGTTACTTCCCAGTCCAAATCACAGTTACAAAACCTATGGATGCTACGTTATTTTATACAGAAAGTGTGAAGCCTCTGTCTCCTAGGGCTATTTTGTAGATTTTAGGTTTAACTAGTTCTGGAAGGTAAGAAGGCTCACTACATTTCAAGTTAAATTAATGATTATTACACACAACAAKGACAGAAGAAAGTTTACTCTGCAAACTGTTTGCAAGCCAGCCAATGCTGGACACAAGGCATTGAACCCACGGAATTTAGTGCTGTTTATCAAAATGTCCTTGTGGCCTTGACAGCAAGAAAGCAAAAAGGATTCATGAAATTAAGGAGCGAGACAAAAAACTAACTTTTCGTATTAGGATTGATTCGTATTCCTAAAGAGCACATAATAGATGCTGAAGCACTGCCATCTGTTTATATCCAATCATTTTTAAAAGCTGGGGGGATGGTAGTGCTGCTGGTGTTTATTTTATATTTTTTAAATTAAGTTCACCCACTTGCACATCTGCCAGGTTCACTGCATGTAGCAAAGTCTTTGTTCTGTCTCACCAAACACAAGATGTGAATTGATATTCTCCCTCATACACACAGAGAAATCTTCCCAGAAATGCATCTCAAAAATCCCCAACAATCCTCAGGTGACTTTGACATATTGAAAAAATGTTTTGTAAAAGGCAGGTCATCAACCCTGACCCTAACAGTTTTAGGGGAAAAAGCCAGCATTCATTTGTCAAGGGAGTGTTTTGTTTCTWAACATAAAGTGACATTCCTGTTAAAAGCTTTTTACATTTGGAAKGTTAGCATAAATGGCACCCATTCACATTAAGTGACCACAGAACATGCAAACATCGTGATTCCCTGTCCTTTTTAGACACCATTCTGTTTCCCTTCCTACAAGGTATCCAATCCAGAAAATAATACCTGAGAGTCTGTAAATGAAAGAGCTAGAAATATTCATCAGCTTCTTAGTTAATTTGTCTCCCACAAGTACACAGTTCCTTTCATGGAATCTACTTGCTCAACAAGACATAAGACAGAACATGCTCTGCTCTACTCTACAGAAGCTTCTTTACAAAAGCAGTTTTAGCTGACATCAAGTTTTATTTCTTATAATACCCTTACGTCCTGATACAAGCATAAAGRGTCTGCTGTGACCACCACAGCTCCATTCCTTTCTATCTCCTTTTCCCAAAAACAAAATCACCAAAAAAGAAAAGCCTACTATTATTATAATAATAAATACATCTATTTCTGTTAAACCTTTATTTACTGATATTTATATAATTTTTCTGATATGGCATTTGCTCACAAGGACTTTTTCCTAGAGGTGTGGAGGTTGGCCTCAACTGGAGGGAGAACACAAGGCACTATGGATATTTCTAAAGCTTTACTTTATCTCACTTGTCAGACTTTAATGGYTCTGCTCCCAGTGTACTAAGAGTTAACCTGGTCACCGTTCTTTCTGTTCTGGCTGCTGTGACAGAAATTTTTCTGTCTTCCTGCAGAGACAGGAGCAMACACAGCTTAGCACTACCTGGACATCACACTGGAAGGCTTCCAAGGTGTGGCACAAGCCTCGTACACAGCTCCAGCACCTCTTCTTTCTACAGCTTTCAGGATATCACTGAATCTGTCACAGAATGCTTAGTACATGGAGCAGGTATGCCCATTCTCAATTGCTGCTTCTTGCCTGGATTTACCAGAGCAGACCCTCACAGTCCCTCCCTGCCCTACCTTCTTCATTCTGACATGCATAGAGTCTGGTATGACATGCATAGAATCAGGATTTCTTTTGTGCAATGACTGGGATATATAATTATAAGTTTCTAAATTAAAAGCATATGTGAAAAAAAATCATCATGTGCCATTTTTAAAGGCAAAACACAAAAAGCAACAGGTGTCAGAACATCATTTACATCACACATATCACTTCCTAGTGATAAACTGATTAAATTAACTCTCTTCAATTATCTAGAAGATTGAAGCCCTGTGGATATTAATTTCCTGTCACTGTATGGCTAAAGAGTCTATAGGCTCATTTCAGAGTATAAAGTCAGTTACTGTTCCTCTCTTTCCCACAGGTGGCATGCAACCAACAGCCCACTTCCTAATAGCAGGAACAAAATATTAAAAGCACTAAAGATATTTTTAAAGCCCAGAAGTACCTGGAAGCACTAGTGAAACCATGTAGACAGCCCTCCTAAAGTCAGCATGGGTAACATCACAGCGCAAGGCAAAGCATGCTGCAAAAATTCCATCATAATCTCACCCTGACAACAAAGTTGGGCTAACAATATTGACATAACCCACGTGCTAGAAAACATCACTGTTGCTACATCAGCACTGGATTTTCTAGGATCTCCTGCTCTGCTACTGCCAGTGCATGCCAGTGTAAAACTCTTGGCTTYAACAGGCAGCAATGGAGAGAACCCTCTTCACACAAACTGCTCTTGCAGCAGGATGACCAGTGAGGGTCAAGAACACACATTGTGGGTTCAGTTCTAGTTCTKCTCTATTATTTAAAAAGCTACATGCATCCCTCCATACTGATATTTCTGATCAAACCATACACAGCTAAAACAAACCAGACGCTCCAAATCTAACACAATTCTTCAGTGACTGAGCCAGGTAAGTGTTTTAAGAAAACRCTCATCCAAGAGAGGTTTTCGGGGGAACAGGCTTGAAAACAGAGAGGGGTCAGGGGAGGAGGGATAACAATGGGAGAGTATCCTGCTTCRCAAAATAAGGCATAGCAGCAAGGAACTCACACACTGGTTACAATAGCATGGTGAAATATTTCTATTCATACAGCAGCACATGACTCCTACCAGGAACTGAGCAAATGGCACATTCAAAGAAAAAAAAGAAAGAAAAGACAAACTGTAAAAACCCACTAAATACCAAACACCCCTCAAAAAAAAAAAAAAAAACCAGCCAGGGTTTCGTTAATCACCAAGATTTGCAATTCAGTAAAAGGGAACAAGCCATGTTAATACCAAACCTGCTTTTTTACTAGTCAGGCCATTAGCCACATATCACAAATGAAAAGTTATGTGAACAGAATTTCAAAAAAAMCTCCTGACAGGATCAAAAAGAATGATAAAAATTATGAAAAACACGATGCTTTAATATAGCCCAGAAAGCAGGTTTTGTTCCATTTAGGCTTCTACTAACATCCCAATAGTGATTTAATTAAAGCTAAACTGGTTTCCCAGAAGTGGTGGAAGAAGTTCAAATTATATTGAATATTATGATAAACTCACATTTCATTCAGCAGATCCCAACCTTTTCCTAGGTGCAGCCCCTCCTGCAGCTTGAAGGATTCAGACAATTCCAAATTTCTGGATGATATAGTAGTCATAGACTTGACTATTCTGGGAACTGCTGCTCTGTGATAAAGTTCTGAACTGAACTACATTTAGTACAGCTGTTAACTAAATAATTACTGCTTTCATTACTGAAAAAAAAATCACCTATTTTACTACCAACTCCAGTCACAGCAGCACTAGCAAGGTGGTGATTTCTCTCTTCTCATCCTATTTGAAATTGCTCAAAGSGTGCTGACTCATAACTGACCCTGAACTGGGGCACACATCTGAGCTGCTGCAGTTTCCAACACAAACTCCAGTAACGTGTCAGGCTGTAGCTCAGGAGATGTGTGTTCAGCCACCTACGGCTACAGACGCAATAATCTCAGGGAGCAAAGGAGGGCAGGCAGCTGGTGGAGGTTACTGCTGCAGACATCCTTGCCCAGCTGGCCATTGTTTGAGAATTACAACCCCACAGCCAAGCCAGACAACTTTCTGTGGTTACAGCCTGTTGGATTACAGGTAACAAATTATCCAGCTACAACCACCCTGCATACTTGAACGTGGCCCCCAAAACGTGCTTGGACAAAATGTAAAATACGCTGTTCTTCTGATCAATTCTATTTTTATCCATTTGCTTTCATTCTCTCGGCTCCTATACTGCTTCCCACCACCACCACCTCCATASGTGTTTCTTTACATCTTCGCATCTCCCAGTCTCTTCCGTTTYCACTGGGGCTTCACTTTAAACCATTTCACGCCGTACCAGCACGAACCATAACACGAACTTCCACGGCACATGCAACATGCCAGGTAAAACAAATCGTGGGCTTCCTAACWAACCTTCAGAGCTCACACTAGAAACGAGACAGATGTGCAAGGGCAGTAATTCCTGACACGGCTTCAGGATGGCAGCAGACTCAGAAACAAAGCACCGTGTCAGCTGACGCTGGTTCGTAGTAGATGCAATAAAATACATGAAACTGACCATTGAGCACTCACAGAGAAAACATTAAAAAATCCAACACCGCCACAAGGTCTGGGCAGAMAGACACCGCTCACCATTACCTCAGATGAGGTGACGAAGACAACAAAAGCGTGCGCTTCCCAAGGACAGACTGAATGAGGAGGGGCGGAAAGAAACGGCCGGGAAGGCGAATGGGCAGAGCAGGAATGACCGCCCGTGCGAGGAACAAACCCCACCCGGCCGCGAGCAGTGCCCGGCAGGACGCGGGCCCGGGGGGCGGCCGCGATCCCCGGGGCCGGACCGGGGCCGCCCCGCCCCGTCCCGGGCGGTGACAGCGTGCGGGGCCCGGCGGGGCGAGGCCCCGACCCCCCCCCGACTGCCCCTTCCCTTGGCCGGGCCACAGCCCGCGCACCCCCGGAGAGAGCCGCCCGCGGGCCAGGACCCACCTGCGCTGCAGCTCCGCGGCCACAGCCCCCGCCGCCACAGCCCCTGACCAGCGCGGCGGCWGCTCCCGCAGCTACCGGCGCCCGCAGGCCCCGCCCCGCCCCGGGCTCCCCCCAGCGGACGGCAAGGCGCGTTAACCCGACCCCCCCCGCCCCGAGCGCGGCCCCTTACCTGCCTGTCAGCCCGCGGGGAGGGGACGGCAGGGGACGGGTGGCGGTGGCGGTGGCCGCGCCCGGTGCGTTCAGCTCCGCTCGGCTCCGCTCCGCTCCCGCCGCTTCTCTCCGCCGCTCCCTCCCGCGCCCCCGGCGCGAGACACGCGCAGACCCCGCCCCCCGCCGCCGCCACGCCCCGCCCACGGCGCGCGCGCTCGCCGCGCCGGGCTTCCCTCTGCCCCCCCCTCCCCGTGCGCGCGGGGGGCGTGGCCCGAGGCACCGCCCCCGGCGCTGCGTCACCGCCCGGCCTCGTCCCCTGGGAAGTTTGGCCGCTCTCCGGCGCCGTAGCGCCGACTCCGGGCGGGAACTGCGAACGGGCCGCGGGAGGTATCAGGTACGGCGGGCACGGCCCGGGGGGAGCTGGGGGTCGGGCACAGAACCGGGCACAGGGCACCGAACCGGGCACCGAACCGGGCACAGAACCGGGCACAGAACCGGGCACAGGGCACTGAACCATGCACAGAACCGAGCACCGGGCACAGAACCGGGCACAGGGCACCGAACCATGCACAGAACCGAGCACCGGGCACAGAACCGGGCACAGGGCACCCAACCGGGCACAGAACCGGGCACTGAACCGGGCACAGAACCGCGCCCTCCCCTGCGAGCGGCTGCTGAGCGGCCCCGCCCGGCGGGCGAGGGGTGCGCGCTGGGCCGGTGTTTCCTGAGGGAGCCTCGGGCAGAAAGAGCAACTGACCCGATCAAGAATCCTTCCAGTTCGATTCTTTGTGGATTCAGGGTGTAAGGAGCCAAAAGCAACATTGGGTTCCTTAGYCATTAGTCCCAGGGGACACTAAAGTGAGAGGTTATGGCAAATCGGATAGATCTGTCAGACTACATAAGGAAGGACACTTATTGACATATATATTATSGCTGTTTAAAGTAATATCTTGTTGCAATGAATATAGCTTCTATTATAATTATATTCTATTTCATCTTATATATTATCTATATTATATATTTTATATATTATTGTGTCATTACATTTTACATATTGTAATTACCATTTATATTCTAATTCAGTCTTCTGGCATGTTGATATCCACTGAGGTCTCAATAATCTGAACTTCTTCAACTGTAGAAGCAGAGTCCATTTTAAATTAATTTCTGTAGTGCACATAAGTGCATGCTATAGTATTTAAGCCCTTCTGTCAAGCCAAAGGTATCCCCYCAAAAAAGGGATAATTTATATTGCTGTCTAAAAAGGGAGAAGGATGGAAATAGACACAGACTTGCCCACGCCACAAGTGTTCTGCCAATTTCAAGTGTAAATGATTTTCCATTTAACAATGAGCAACTATCAACCTGGAGAAAAACAGGAAAACAGAGAGCCTGAGAGCTTTAGGATTTTCATCCTAACTTAATTAGTGTGTCAGCTTAATAGGGTCTTGCTGCCGGAAGTGTCATCTGTGCCTGTAATCACCGGGGTTTATGCTCCACCGTTTGACAGATCTCCCACAGTGCTTGCAGAGTTCAGAGGGTTTCATTTCCAGGCTGGATTAATTTCTTGCCTAGTAATTGCATTTGGGAAATCTGCAGGCTTTCTGGTTACAATTGGACAAGCTGCTTTCCCCTATAAGTCCCAAACCATTACTCTTGAGTTTAAAAGCCTGCTGTCTTTGCCTTGCGAGGACTGAAGTGACTTGTACATAAATGATGTGGTTATAAATCAATCTGACAGGCTTTTAGAAAGAAGTGCCCAYGTAAATAATTTATGATATTTGAGTAATACTTCTGCCAGGTCTGGTCTCCAGAACGAGCTCTTTTCTTTCACTCTGGTCAATGTGAAACTCCTTGAAGAGCAGAGCAGATTGTTCACTTTTGGTTTTGTAACTGTGAGGTGTTACTATTTGATACCTGGAAAAGACTTCTGTGACAACATTTCTCTTTTCCTTCAGTCCTTCCCCTTGGTCACTGTTTATTGTTACAAGGCATTGTTTTTTTTTACAGTATCATCAAAAAGATGTTCAGGAGTACCAGTCAATCCCTTTAATTAAATATTTTTTTTATACAGATTGTGAGGTAATGCTAGGAAACTAAGCACTGTGAGAAAAATAAGCAGAATTATACTCTTGGAAAGCACTTTCAATAATACTTCAAATTTAGAATTGTTTGGAATGACTTGTTTCTTAGGATGCTACTGGTGCATTTTTAATTAACGAAACTTTTCTGGACCCTTTGTAAGGCAAAAATTGCAACAGGCGATGGATTTTAAAACAGCAAATAAAATTATGTAGGAAAGGGATGATTGWTACATACCACTGCTATTAAAGAAAATGTTTGGAGGCATAACCAGCAAAATTTGAAAAATATGGAGTCTAAAACACAGCAACACATGTGCTAAAATAAGCAATTTRGACTTGTAATTGTTGGGAAAACAGGTTCCTAAACAACTTCCAACACTGATTTTCACTACATTGATTTTAAATGAASTTGTAGCACTTGTATAAAGGCTGTCATGGCAGGAAACAGCATAATAAGAGGTGAGTTTCTCATCCCATGTTCCAAAAATGCAGGACTTGACCAGGCTGGCTTCATTACAACTGTCAGTTGTGTCCAAATTTTTTTAAATAGGAACACACCCCCAAAAATGCACTGTTACTCTTCACAAATTGTATAAAGGTAAGGAAGAAAAAGCTTTACCCTGAGCTCATTAAAAGGTTATTTGGTAAAAATAACCAGAATTAGTGATTTCTGTTTACTACAGGGAGATAATCATGATCCTAGACATGTCAAGAATAAGCCTAGCAGTACCTGATAAATCAGAGTTCAATTATGCTTTTGGAGCYTCATAGATTCCACTATAATAAGTGRGACTGCATGCAGCTGGCRATMTGACAYGTGCTGCAACTGAGTTGACATTGTCAGTGGTGTTTGTATGCCTTGAAAGCAAATATATTTAAACTACTCCAGGTAGCTCAAACTTTCTATGTTACACTTTTTTTTTTTTCTCTTGCTGCAGAATGTGGCCTGAATGAGTAAGGAGCATTGATAAGGYACTGACATCATCAGAGGCCAGCTGTAGTCTGGTCTAGACACCCAGACTCCTGACCTGCCCCTGCATTTCCATGTTTACCCTATCAAATACTGAGTATCTTTTCCTACTGTTGAAGTTAACAGAACATTACCTCGTTTTTAAGTCATCAAGTTTATTTACCTAGAGATATCAGAAGTCAGAACTGAGGAGTTGTATTGTGTGCWGCTTTTCCACCATCAATTCCACAAGCAATCCTTTTAATCCTTTCCACTCCTTTTAAACTGTGGAGTAGCACAGGCCTGTCTTGGTTAGGAACATGTGCCCCATTAAACTTGGAAGAGGTACCTCAGCTCTGTGTTAGCTAAAGCAGCCTTTGCATAACAGGTAAATCAACTTATAAAATAGTTTGGAGTTCCAGAGGAAGGAAAACTCCACAGAAATATAAAAATTGTAAAGTTTTTTTGTATGTTTTCTTAGAGTAATACAAACCTTGGGTTAAGTAGGTGACATTATCTTTAGTGCTTGCTAAATCASTTGTTGCATGTGTAACTATTTGCTCTTGCTGGGCTCAGTGGAATTGCATTAATTGAAAGAATGTTGAAGATTTTCACTCAGCAMACCAAAGCAAACTTATCAGACAGAGAGGATGAATGAAAAGCCCTCTGACAGTTCACAGTTCGTGTCGAAGTCTTGTCTTAGATTGTGGGATGCTATGATTAATTCCCTGGAACAGCCATGTTCTAGCTGAGCATTACCCAAGCTGTGGTACTTACACAATTCGTGGTATGCAAACTATTCTGAAGTGATGCAAAACTGCCTACTTCCACCTTACATGTCAGAAGAACTGGGAACTGCCACTCCTACCACAGGATTAAAGCACAGTGCAGGGTACAAAAACCTAATTTGTCAAAGCAGAGTGGAACTGACAGGAGAAGACATGATTTAGGAGCAAAATAAATTTTTGAGGACTAATGGACAGAAAAATAGAATGGTGTGTGAAGATGTGTTGATTTAGAAAATTAGAATTATTTCCATACAATCATGGCATGTGAAGGTGTTGCTGCCATAGCCTACATGGTGGCTGTACTTGAACAGATTTAATTCAGGTTTATTTGGTTTATATCCTGCACAGGAATCTGTGTGTACACACACAGATTTTTTTTCTCAGCAGCTTCTCAATTCACAACCACCATGCACATAAATACCTACCTGTGGAGTGCTGTTGAAAATTAATCTTTCATAGCCAGTTTCCACTTTTTTTTTCTTTTCTTTTTTTATGTACATCATGTGTTCAAATTTTGAAAGACAAGATCAAAATATGGTAGTAGTAAAAGCTGTTAAGTTTCTTTACCTGTTCTAATGTTAAAAGGTAATGTTTTGAAGCACAGTGCAGCACCTCTAGTCTTGTGTGGGCTTTTTCTCAGTGACAAGAGAACTTCCTGAGAACATTAGCAGCTGAACTGAAAAGAATGCCCTGTAAATAATAAATAATGGTCCCATTGTCACAGAGATAGTAAATTGTAATTAATAGGTTCCTTTAAATTGATAAACTGTTTGTAATATCCTGCATATTCAAATGCATATTTGAACTTCAATTTTTAGTCTTCTGGTTTTAAAATAGGGCGTTTTTAAACACTGGTTAACGAGTCAGAGCAGTGCTGGCCCCACAGGGTGTCTGAGGCTCTTTGGCACTCCAGTCAATAGTTTATTATCTACTTGAGCATTAATGTTTCATGTGAGTTAAAATGTTCTGGGAAGAGRGCAGGACAGTGAGGAAACAATATTCCAGTGAGGAATGGAAGCGCCTTGCCCTCCATAGCTTCTGGCTCTGGCACTGAGATAGATTTATAGCTCCATCTGCAGAATTAACTTCTCTTTCCTCCCAACTCCTACTCTAATAATTTTTGATATTGAAGTTCTGTCACACTGAAATGCTCAGACAATTGCTTTGAGACACAGGGCTTTGCTGTGCTGCACTTCTCCAACTGCAAAACCCACCACGTTGCTCTGATGGAGTGTTCAGTTTAAACAAAGCTCACAGCTGAAGCTGTTCCTGCAGGTAAAGCCTGAAACYAAACCAGCATCRTGKGTCTCCTTCACTCAAGCTGGATTCMCACATAATTTGAATGCAAGCCACTGACAGATAAATCGAGACTGATAATGGTGCACACCAGATAAAAGCTTGAAGGACTTTAAGTGAAACCAGAATTAAGCAATTTTGCATCAAAATGCCACCCACCTGCTTTGCATAAATTGGTCATRGAGTTATGTAGGCAAATGACATTTCGGTCATTGTTTCTTCCMAAGGGCTTAGAATGATTAAGATCTGATTGAGGCAGCTTGGGGGTGTGAGTGGAGGCAACAGTATTGTTCAAATTTCAATTCCCTTGGCCACACATACTATTTATGTCTCTTTCTAATTGTCTCCCTCCCCATGCAATGAACTCTTTGCTGAGCAGAGGAAATAGCCWGCTTAAATCAGAAGTGTTTCTCCTGGTAATGTTGCTTTCTCTTTCTATTTGTTCTTTTTCAAAGCCAAATATATTTACAAATTRCTGGTAACTTCTGATTAAAACCCATTCAAATATGTGGACACTATACAATTAGACAAGTTTTGGACTGCAGATGAATAATTCTAGCCAASCAAAATTAAGGAGAATTTTAGCTACACTTGGCATAATTGCCAGTGCTCATACTTGCTAACAACTTGTATCCTTTTTCTGCAAATTGTTTGCCAAATCCTCAGTAAACTTTCTTGTTTAGAGACTGGAAAAACAACTTATTTTAAAAAGTGACACACTTTTTAAATGGAATGCAGTAGCAAAGCACAGTACTGGCCAGGTGCAGTCTGACTGGCAAATCATGCTATCTGCTGAGGATTTTAGACTTTGTCAAACTGTTTTGACATCTCCAGCTCTCTTGTATGAGTCTGAATTTTTCCTATATTTGTATTGCCTAYACAAGTCGGAGTGCTGGGCTATTGGTTGTACTCAGCATTTATGCAAATGCAATAAAAGGTTGTCTSTCTGGGTTATTTGGAAGTGCTGCTGCAGCTCCTGGAACAGCTGGGGTGCACAATAYCCCCAGGATCRYTGCTCCAGAGCAGGGTGGAGTGGCYGTGYAGTCCTGGGAATTGYTGGATACTGGCTTGGAAAAGGGTGCCATCTACTGAATTACTGGTWCCACTTCTTATGATCCTGACAGGTTCTGTGTTTTTCAGCTCTACATGGTTTATGTGGTACCATCATAGCACCACACAGGGTGATGAAAGTCAGAACAACACTCTAAAATAAAAATTGAGAAGTCAGGGTCAATTTTAGAAAGTTGTCTCTACTTTGTTTATCAAAGTATTAATGGATATTGAACGCATTCCAGGAACACAATCCTGAAGAATCCAAAAGAGGGAAATATTTTCTTTTTCCTTCCCTAGCATAGTACAATGCCATCACACTTATATAAAAGGAAAAGAAACACATATATAATTTTTTACCAGTCTGATATTTAGAAWAAGYTTTTTGACATGTYTTCATATGCACTRTCAGTTSTGTTATCTTCAGTTATCATATTTTRTCTTATCTTTAGGGATGCCTGAGAGCCAGGGGAAAGACGGTGAAAGCTACAGCAGCAGCAACAGTTCCAACACCGGAGATTCAGTGGCATCTTTTGGACAGGTCTGTTCCTTTTGCCCAAGAGGGAAATACAAGTTTCATGCTCACACTTCTGGAATTCTGCTCTGCATGTTTATTCCTTTTAAACTTGGATACAGTAAGGCAGGAATCATGCTACACGTGACTGTACTTTACATTGCTTTCTCTGGAATAGGCTTGGCATCCCTTGAGTTATAATAAATTGCTCTGGATTCTTCTCAAAAGGTTTTTAATTCTTGTACCTTTAAAGTGGGTCTTATGTTATTCTCTCTTATTCCCAGATAGCATGAATCATGCTTACACATATTCTCAGTACAGGTTCAGAAAAGCCAACTACTTACAGCTATTTAAAAATAATTTTTTAAAAATTGTAAAACCATTTGGAAAAAAAAAACTGGTATCTGGACTGAACAGAGCTTTTGGTGGTGACTTCTTGTCTCCATGATAGGCATTTCTCCATAGTTCCTGAATATGGCACAAGATCATCACATTCTCCCTTTTTCCTTATGCTTTTTGTTACAGGCTTGCATTCTAGAGTCAGAAAAAGATAAAGTTTTTGSTCTAAGTGAAAATGAGAACGAATTAGAGAGGTTTGGCAGGAGCTGGAATTTATACGGCACACACACACACATGATTCTGTGTTCTGCCGAATTGTTATAGCAGCCAGTACATGCACACACAATATTTTTGATTTAGCTGGTGAAACCTCTGTTCTGTCCCATATCAGAGCATAACAACCCAAGCTTTTTAGTGCTCAAATCCTTTAAAATACATTTAGGCTTCTCTACATTTTGTAAATTGTATTTCTACTATGCCAAGCCAACACTTAGAACACTTTAGGCTTCCAGTGATGTGAGTGTTCTCCAATGATACCTGTGATGTTGGAGTTGTCTGAAGGACTTTCCCTGCTTGAGGGAAATTGGCTGAACACTCCTCAAGAAATTCCTATTTTGGCTGCTTTCCTGAGCTGCTGCCCTCCCTGCCATGTGGTCGTGGGGTAAGGTTATTCTTCAGTTTGGYTGGAGTTTTTAAATACACTTCTTGTTGGTCACAGAGATATATTTTTGTTTTGAGCAGCAAAATAGAAATTTACATGTGTGTTTGTGGCAAGCTTGACTAGGATTATTAATGAAAAATAATTGCTGCAGCTCAATAATTAATGCTTGTGTACATCAAGAGTAAGAGGAAAAAAACCAGTCTATTGCACGTACATACCCTGAGGTGTTTCCTTGCCTGTTACATAAATACACAATTCTAAAAACGGAGCATGCACATCTTGGGAGGACTGGGATAAAGAAATGATATTAGCATAAAGAAATTACATTAGGAGAAGAGGGGAAGCTAAAACAGGAAGAGTAAGATCTGCGTTCCCTTGTTTTTGGCAAGTATCAATACACAGCCAACGAGTATCAAGCTATCCAGCATGCTCTGCGYCAGAGGCTGGGCCCAGACTACATCAGCAGCCGGCAGGCAGGAGGAGGACAAAAGGTAGGAATAAACATGTTTCAGCTCAACTTTTCCCAGGAAAGGTAGGCTTAAAAAAGTTACAGTATTTCTTTTTAAAGTTAATTTCCCTCTGGTAGTTTAATATACAGGTATAAATGCAAAGTGAGCATGGCAWAAATTCTGGCTTTTATTGAGCCACAGATTCTTTTTACACTTAAAAACAGTTATTTTTTTCAGTGGTTCATCCTTTACAGAGGAATATTTATCTACTTGTGCAACACTGAGATTTTTTTCCCAGAATTGGACTATATAAAACATTATATAACAGTGGCTGCATTTATCATCTTTAGTGCCCACTCTGCCTTCTGTTGATTGTCATATTTGTTGTTATATTAACCCCCACCACATTCCCTGGAAGAGAGTGAACCTAAAGCTGCACCATCATTCTTTTTTTCACATTATCTGAACCCTAAAATGAGCTGGGTTTCCTCAGTGCAAGGTGATATATGTGTAATCTCTGTTTAAAATAAAGTGTGTGGAGATATGTGCACAAGTCTATGTATTTATATATATATTTTTTATGTATTTTATATCTATATGCATGTATATATGTATTCTTCTTTTTAGGTCTGTTACATTGAGGGTCACAAAGTCATTAGTCTGGCCAATGAGATGTTTGGCTTCAATGGCTGGGCTCATTCAGTCACTCAGCAGAATGTTGGTAAGGGCCTCTTGGGGGCAAAGTCTTTCCTCCCTCTTGTTTCACTGTGAAGGAAAAGTCTCTCAGATAAGGGCCAGGGTCTCCATCACAGAATCCCAGAACATGCTGAGTTRGAAGGAACCCACAAGGATCAGACTCCACTTTGCACAGAGCACCCCAAGAACTCACYATATACCTGAGAGCATTGTCCAAACACTTTTTGGACTCTGTCAAGCTGGGGCTGTGATCACTGCCCTGGGAGCCTGTTCCAGTGCCCARCCACCCTCTGAGTGAAGAACCTTTTCCTGACATCCAGCCTAAAYGTCCCCTGACACAATTTCAGGCCATTCCCTTGAGTCCTGTCACAGGTCACCAGAGAGRAGAGATCAGTGCCTGCCCCTCCACTTYCYCTCATGAGGAAGTTGTAACTGCAATGAGGTCTCCCCTCAGTCTCCTCCAGGCTGATCAGACCAAGTGACCTGAGCTGCTGCAACTTCATCACTTCAAAGGACCTGGGCAGAGGCATGTGCAATTTCCAGGTGTCTTAACAGCTGGTAAAAATGAGCAAAATTGAATAATAATGGAGCTTCTGTTTTCATTTTAGATCGGTCATAGTCATTATTCTGAGTGTGTTTATGATTATTCTTGAGCTATTCTAATCAAATCTCTGCTCTCTATGGGAACACTCAGTCATGAGTAATTACAATTAAACTATTTAACACCCAGCAGTCCTGAGACAGCTTTCATACTCACCTGTAATTTTTATACTCTAACCAGTTCATATTCTTAGTTAATATTCCCCTAATCTTTAGGGACACATCTTTTTCTGCAGATTTCTTTTCCAGCTAATACCTGGTACTGAGGTTTTTACAACAGAAAACTTTGGAAAAGTTTTTAAACTATAATATGGTGTTTAGGTGATCTGAAAGCTTCAGCCTCTTCCATGTTGATAGCTGAAATAGTACCTACCAGAGGAGTGTTGTCCTTGTTTGCASATCTGCTTATGCTGAAGAGTGGTTGTTGAAGTAGGTCAAAGCAGCAGCTTAAATTACCTTCTTCCTTCTCCCCCTGCTTCAAAAATCTTTTCTTAACACAGGCTGGTAGATTCTAGAAATAGAACAACTTACTTCATTGCTTTCCATTTATTCTGCACCACAGCTTGCTTTCCCCATTTTCAGTCAAGAAAAGACTGACATCCTTTAAACTTTTACCTTTTTCATATAATACCATAAGAAGTTATTCCTTAGAAATTCATAATGGAATCTGTTATGTTTTAAATTTCTGGGTAGAAAAAGAGAGCTTGCACCTTCAACAGRTTTATAAAACAATTAAACGAAGAGACCAGATGAGTGCAGAACTCTTGGACCCCAGAGAAGAGTTACTTGATCCCAAATTTCATTTCAGACATGTGACATGTTTCTATTAGAATTGCAAGGCTGCTAACTGCAGTGCTCTATGTGTATTATGTAGCACTGCTTTTGCTGTGAAGTAAGGTATTTTAGGGATTCTGAGTTGAAAGTTTCATTGCAACCTGTTCAGCTTGTCAGGCATTCTGTCCTGGATAAAACTTTGTGCAAATTATTTGCGAACTGGAGACTTCTAGAATATAATAGGAAAGAAATTAATAGACAAGGGTTTCTTTTCCTTTGTTGTTTCTATAAATTAACACTTAAAATATCTCCTTCCAGACTTTGTTGACCTCAACAATGGCAGGTTTTAYGTGGGTGTCTGTGCTTTTGTGAAAGTTCAGCTGAAGGTAAGTGGATTTTTTTGTTGGCTCTGACTGTAATTGAGCAAATGCCTGAAGCTGTGAATTAAAGTTCTTGCCCATATGGGTCAGACCACAGTTCATGGGTAATGCACTGCACTAGGAACCTGCTGGTGTCCTGAACATTGACCTTGCTGTGGAAYAAACAGCTAAGAGCAAGGCTAACCAGGCTTAGGAAAGCACAGCACCTGTGTGTATAAAATTCCCCTATATTTAAAATTTTACTGCAGGATGGGTCATACCATGAAGATGTAGGATATGGAGTCAGTGAAGGCCTGAAGTCTAAGGCCTTATCCTTAGAAAAGGCAAGAAAAGAGGCAGTAACAGATGGACTGAAGAGGGCACTCAAGTAAGTGAAGATCAGTAGTTGTACATTTTCAGCAGTCATATGGGAATGAAGTGTTTTTAGTCACAGTGAGCTCTTGTGTTTCTSAGGTGCTTTGGGAATGCTCTTGGCAACTGCATCCTGGACAAGGACTACCTGCGAGCTGTGAACAAGATTCCCCGCCAGGTACAGTACACGGGCTGTCAGAGCAGGCTGCCAGTGCCCCTGCTCCTTCCTGTTACACGGGTTATAAATGGTGGTATCAATGCATCTCAGTCCTGACAGTTACCTGCTAGGAGACCAATAGCCTTTATAACAAACAGCAGAATGTTCCTGAGGTGGCACCTCAGTAACCAGCATGGATTTGCCAGCTCCTGCTGTGCTCCAGCTGGGGGCAGGAGGCTTCTAGGCAGTGACCTACCTTGTGGGAGGAGGAAAAAGAAAGCCTTTTGCAACTGCTGATCAATGGACTTCATAGTAAAGCTGCCTTTCATCACACTAGGACTTGCCAAACTCTGCTAGAGGCCTAGCACTGCAAGGCAGTCCTGTCAAACAGTGTAGGAACAGATCCAAAGTGACATCTTTCCAGGTAAAGATGGCTCAGATCTCTTGTTTCTCAGGGTCACTGTCTATTAGAAGCACTGCTGCAGTGCTTCTAATAAATAATGCCAAAGTGACAGAGTCAAAACATCCCATCTTTAATAAACAGGAATAGTGTACCTTCCTCAGCACTCAGTAAAGGCTGGCCTTTCCCTTTAGCACAAGCAGAAAATGGAYTGGTATAGTTTGCTGTTAGTTACAGACTCAGCAACAGTCTTGTGGGACTGTGAGTAAAATTCTGCATRGATCACCAGCACCTGTTCTCATTTGCAGAGCAGTGTGGGGAGACATCACCATCTGCCCTGAAGCACTAAACAATTAAATCAACACAAAGTCACAGGAATTCAATGATTAACTAACTGAATGACTGGGTACTGACAAAGCATTTCAGGTTTCTAGCTTACTGTTTGACGTAGATCAAACAAAATAGATTTTTTAACTACGGCTTATTTCATTAACTTGATGATGGAAATTTCTGAACATTTTCATTTTTCCCCTTTACCAGGTACCCTCTGAGTTAGACTTGGTCAACGCTAAAATACAGGACTATGAGCCTGAAATAGAGAAAGCAAGATACAGCAGCTATATGGGAAGGCAGAACACAGCAGGGAGACAGCACTGTGAGGTGGCACCTGGCTGTAAGCCTGGCCAGACAGAAGCTGCTGTAGTGACAGCAGATCAGAAGCARCCCAATGCTCCCAGGTGAGACTGTTGTTATAAATGTATTTTCTAAGCTGCATTAGAAGTGACTTTACCTTTTAAAATACATGGACAGTCCAATTCTGAAGATGCCATAAAGCACTAGTTCAATGGATCTTCTTCACTGCTATTTCCTAATGAATTTTTTATTCATAAAATGTAATTGCTGAGATCCTGTTTAACTCTGTGTTTACTGGGGGGGAGGGACAGAAGCACAGACTCCCTGGCCATGGAGTGTGATGCCACTTACCAGAGGAAACTGCGACAGAAGCGGCTGCAGCAGCAGTTCCGGGAGCAGATGGAGAAAAAGCAGCAGGTYCCAGGAGTTACTCCCAGCAGCAAACAGGGTGAGAGGTGGCATTAAAAACTGGCACTTTCCATGAGAGCTGCTGGCAGGCACAGGTTACCCACAGTACAGGAAGGAGGCTGACCAGCTTCATGTGCAGYTGTTCTGTGCCATCAACACACCTTTGAGGTCAAAGGGAGGAAAATGGTCATATTCCCCCCTGCTATATTCCAAAAGTGTCAGGAATGTCAGCTCAAACACACATCATTAAAATGCAACTTTCCAGCCACCCTAAAGCAGCTGTGGTAGCTGTAGGCAAATACACATTTGTCTGAGCTACTGATGTATTGCCCTTTACTCATGAGGGGGTCTRGCTGACTGTGTGGTATCAGGAACATGGAGACTGGGGAGACATGCTAAAAAAACATGTCTAAGTAGCCCACAGTTGCTCGTCAGATGTCATCAGGTACAGAATCTTCGTGTTCCACATCCTGCTTCCAAGTCTTAACCAGCTCTAGGAAAAAAGAGGGTACCTGGTGGCAGTGCTGGTTGTCATTTCAGACCTGTGCTTTGCTAAGAAGGAGCAAAAGGGTTCTTCTGTGTTTCTGATATTAATCTCCTTGTRTTACCTCCTTGCAGCAACATCCAATCCTCCTGTAAAGCACAGCACTCCAGCAGAAGTACAACAGGAGCTGGCAGTAGAAGAGGAGTTCTTTGCAGGTCAGCCAAAGAGTGATGAGTAATAAAGTGTCAAATCATTAGCATTTAAACCAGCTTAATTCAGAATACAGTGTAAAAGTAAAAGTTCTGAAGAACTGGAATAACACAAGTGTGAGTGTGATTCTGACTTTAACAGCACAAACCTTGCTCAAGTGGCAGGGAGATGCTGTCCATCACTATGGGGGCTTTCACACTTAGGCTCTTCAGYAGAAGAATTGTTACACCTATTTGGTAAACCCTTTTCCTAAGATGATACTGCACAAAASAGAACTGGGGGAGGATTTAGGGTGTGTCTTTCCTTAATACAACCATGGCTGTTTGGGTCACACTTAGACTGGGGTGCCTGGACATTGCTTAAGTCCAGAGCACAAGGGGCAGGACTCTGCTGCATGCTGACGTAAGAGAGGCTTTACAGATTAAATTTTATAGCGGTCACTATTTGTAGGAAGAGAACGTGCTGCTCTCAGAGTTACTGCCGTTCCTGTAGTACAGTACTGTGTCATGCATYCCCTTCTCTTTCTTTCCAGATGATCCTGAGCTTTGGGACATTTCCTTGGAGAGCACTGACCTGAAGGTAACGGGTGCCAAAATGTCAGAGCCCTCCTCAGCTTGGCACCAGGCACCTGAGACACCCYGTGGCCATCACCAGATGAGCACTCGGAACAGGACACCCCACAGGATGAGCCAGCACAAAGCTTCTGCCAGACTTGCACAACTGCAGCCCTCTACTGCAGCCATGAACACCAGCTGTGCCAACCAGCACACCCCAGGTATGTGCTGCCTGAGGCCTGGCCTCAAGGTGTTCTTGGTAGATTGGGAAAGTCTAGTGGGAGAAACATTCCTTTCTTTTGGACCTGGCTGCAGATGCTGTGAAAGTGGGCTTGAAAAACTGGTATTGTTTTCCCAATCCTACTGTCCTATCAAGGAAGAGTTAGAAAAATAATGGAGGAACACATTTAGAAGTAGAACAAAAAAGCCCRTTTCTCTCTCTTTCCCTGTCTGGCAGGGTGCAGCCCTCTCAGGAGAAGTCAGAGCTTGAAGAAAAGGAGGCTGGAACCTACATGAGGCACCCAGTGGGATCCATACCTCTGTCATGGATTACACCACAAGACTGCAGCTGACTTTTCAAATTGTGTCACATGGACTCTCCTGTATATTATGGTGAGGCAACAAAGAAGAGTTTGATACAAACAACAAGAATGTCGTGAACTCTTGCATTATGTATTTCAGATGCCTTTTTCCATAACCAAGCAATTATCTGTGCTTCCGCAGCACAAGACTTGTGGCTGTATTAGAAGTGGTTATTACCTGTAAATTGCCCGAAGCAGTAACAAAATGAATTGTTAAAAATTAGATTAAATTCACAGCTTTTCTCTTTCCCTAGTGCTGCATTTCAGCACAGAGAAAAGAGATTTTCACAGTGGGAGCAGGTGTGTTCTGTGCCAGAGGACAGACAGTACAAGCTGTGGCCGGTGAGGCTGGGGGGTGGCACTGGTGGTGTCTGAGGTGCAGCCCTGCCTTGGCCCTGGGGCTGCAGGACCAGGGGCAGAACCCCTCGCTCCTCCTGAGGCTGCCCCCGAGGCTGTTCCTCGCTGTCCCCAGCAGCAGCAGCACCTCCAGCCTTTGCCTCAGGGCAGGAGCCGGCTGGGACCGCTGCCAAACAACACACACCACAGCCTGGTGCTTGCACCKATCCTTTGTAACATGAATGGGAGCTGCACTTCTGTTTTTAAATAAGCTTTCAAACCCTTTCAATACAGAAATAAACAAGAATTTGAAAAACAAACCCCACGGGAAGCTGTTCATGCCTCTCTGCCATTCCAACCAATATACCTCACTCCTTGTTGAACAACCTCAAAGAACSTAACACATTCTGAAGCACCACTGCTCCTGCACAGCCTCCTTTGCTTTAAGATGGACACAGAATCTCACAGGAGTTCAAAGGTTACAGCAAAACCTGTAACAATTAGGTCAAAGTAGAATTTTTTAGCAATACTGGAAGAATACTTCCTTAGCCATTTCAAACGGCTCGGGGTGGGAAAKGGAGGAGTTTTGCTGGGCTGACCTGTTCTGTTCCCGTGCAGTTCAGCTGCAGTTCCGGGCACCACCACGTCAGGGCTCCGGCCAGTGGCCCGTGCTGGCAGCTCTGCTCCTGAGCCAGAGGTGGTGTCACCATCCCCGGGTATCCACCGGGGGAGCCTGGTACTGCAGTGCTGGAGGCAAGGATGATACCACATGACTGGAAGTTAAAGCTAGACCCGGAAAATTTACACAAACTATGGGTTTAGTCCAACCCTGAAATCAATGTTAGGCTTCAAATGGGACCTTATTCCAATGCTTGGCTACCACTGCTCTGTCTAAATGTAAACACATCTGGAGCATTCAGCATTTATTCCTCTTCCTCCTATTTTGCCTTCATCACTTAATTAGTCCTTTTTCTTTACAAGATCTTTTACCATCCACTTACCTCCTCAACAGGACAAAGAACTGAGTTTGACTTCAGCATGGAAAGACAGGACAAGCCATAATTAATGGCAATAGATTACACCTAGAAAACGGTTTCACATTTCACTGTACTTGTTTCTGGCCAATTCACTGCTGCCTTCAGAACAGCTCAGGGAAGAAGCACATTCCACATGTTTGAGTCATGCCTTCGCTGTTGAAACCATATACCTACTAGGAAGGGAACGTGCAGACATTCAGAATTACTGGATTCAAAGCTGCTCCAAACTTCTACAATGAAAAAAATTTGGAAGTCTGATACAAAAAGGTAACAGCCTCAACTTCCTTGACTCTGAAAACTGTGCAAATATAGCTGTACCTCCTCCAACAGTCACTTGCAATAAGCCTCTCGGGATTGGTCCCTTTGAAAAGGGCAGGAAAACTTCTACTTGAAGTTTTTTTTTCCCTTCGAGGCTTGCGCAGCATGACTCATAACAGAAGCTGTTCTTAAAATGGAAAGAAATGCAGCAGCAATTAGTGTTTAGAAATACCAAATTCCTGCAAGTCTACAGTTGAGAATGACCCTGTGAAGCTGTTCCACTCTTGACCGTTACAGCTGCAAATCTGAGGACTCAATTCCTGTTATTCAGGTCCTTAAGAAATTCCTCCTCCCCAGCCCCGCAGGTGGCACATTCCTGCTCCCATCCACCCCAGAGCAGAGGGCAGGGGAGCCAACAGAGGAAGAGCAGCCGGGAAGGGCCCYTCAGGACATCCTGCTCTTGCCTCAYAAGWKGTAAAASCAAGCACAGATTCCGCCAGTGACGCTCCCTCCACCTCTGCTTCCCACAGGGACAGCCACCAAGTTCTTGCCTGTCACAGCTGAGCGTGTTTGGCAACTTTGTGACAGTCCCAGCCATAAAAGCAGTCACAGCTGATCCAGTATCCTCCCTCAGGCCACTCCCCTMCTAAAGATCCATTTAGGAATTATTCTTTGCAGTACCTGTTTAAGGCCAAAGGCTCGTGACTGGTCAGTGCTTTTGAGAAGGGTCTCATTAAACAGGTTTCTTATACTCTCCTGTGACAAACTGGTAAACTGGGTAACAGTTACATCACCACAGGARGAAGACAGAGGGGTTGGAACCTGCTGTTCCACAAGAAAACCCACAGCTCAACAAAAGCAGATTTGCTTTATTTGAATGACATCATTCAATATTCTACAAAGGTAACAAACTGCAGCACGGGGCGCAGTCATACAAGAAGGGTTCAGTGCAAAACATACAATTAACTACGGCCAGGGAAGCCCAAAGTTTCAATTAATTTTTTTTTATTTTTGTTTTTTTACAGTGTACATTGTTAAATAATGTAAAGAAAACGCTTGTAATTCAGAAACAGATTTTATGTGGAAAAAGATACTCAAAGTGTAATATTAAACAAAATAATTTAACAGTTCAGTAGCATTAGTTTATTCCTCTAGACTTCAGTTATTCATCCACAGGAGGAGAGGGAGGGAGAAAAAAAAAATCAATGGTAAATAAAACCAGTTCTTGCATAACATTAAGAGAAAAAACGACCTCAAACTTATCAGATCAAATTTAAATAACCATGTGCTGCATCCAGCTGACCAGTTCCTCTGCCATGAATATTCCCCTTGCCTCATTACTGCCTCAGGTCTGTCTCCACTCCTGACTCCCCTGCATCCATCCATYCATCCTTTCAGAGGTTCCCRTCTGCCCTCAGCCCTGGGCCCGYTCCTYTCCTCTCCTGCTTCCCCCTGGAGCCTCCCCTGTCCCTCCGGATCTCCAGCCTGCAGCTGTCCCACAGAACCACCCCAGCCTGCGGGCCCGGAGCCGCCTCCACCAGCTCCTGCCCTCTCCAGCCTGGGCCTGCCCTGCTGCCAGAACTGCTGCACAACAAGTGACAGGAATGGAAAGCATCTCACACGTTTCTTTGTGAAAATAAAAGAGTGAGAACATCTGCAGACACAAAAACTCCTTATTAAGGCCCCAGCAAGGCACAGCGCTCCGAGATAAAAACAAACATGGGCAAGTAACRTCCCTGTGATGCACCAGCTTCCAAGACACTGGTGAGCTGCTCCCAAGCACCAGGAAGCTGCACTCTCATCCTTCACAGCTTTCTGCAGCACTACATAAATACTGGCTGGTATTATTTTGACTTTGAAGAGGGAACCAGTATTTCTTAAATATGAAAAGGGAGAATGACCAAAGCAGAAGACACAGTACAGGTACTAAGAGGTGACAAGTGACAGATAGTGACAGTCCTGGTACCAGCTTGAAATTTGTTAAGAGTGAACAAAATTGTAAATCCTCCAAGTAAGACAGAGGAAACTTCTTGATGCCGGCTGTTTCAAGTACATCCATTGCCGGCAATGGACGTTGCACCAGGACAGTCTGTTCCTGGCTTCAAAAAAAAGGTAAGAAAAGCAATCCCAGCAGACAAGCCCATGCCAACGAGCAATGGCACCTCTCCCTCAAGTCACATCCTGACCGAACATCTTTACCACTTYGCAGGGGTAGTCAAACTGCATCTTAAGTTGGGCCTTTCCCAAAGATACACGTTCTCCCCATCCTCTCTCTGTTTCTGATCCAGCCCTCCTGCCTCCACAGCCAATAATGGTAAAGTCTCRTTTTAGCTTCACCTGCATCCCTCCGTCCCACCCCACCTGGCCCCTGTCACACCACACCTTCAGCTCTGCCCGCCTGGACAAGTTTCCCCACACACAGAACGCTGTTCTGACCCGTGGCCTTGGTGACTTCCCCTCCACACTCTGCTCCAAACAAGGAGCCCGGAATGTCCCGGGCATTGGGCAGAAACATCCTTCCCTCAACTTGCCCTCTGTCCACCTGGGCTCTGCTRGGAAGATGACGCTAAACTGCAGAAGCAAGAGAAGTCCAAGGCACTAAAATATCCAGCAAGCATACTGGGAGAACAGACAAGTATTCAAGTACATTAATTTATACAATTTTACATTCACATTTATTTATCTAATACAATGAAAATACAAAGGAAAAAGTTAAAGTGTCTCCAATAAGTATAAGGATATAGCTAGCTTTTTTTCCCATTTTTTCTTTTTAACTTTTTTAACCCTCTATATTCCACTCATTTTTAAACTACTGTTGTCCAACAACATTTATATATCACAGTGTTTCCACATCAAAACTGATGGTAAGTACATGTCCGCAGGGAACTTTTAAATTTTTTTTTAAACAATTTAAATTGCTCTAATGCTGCAGTCAAAGCTGTTAATATCTTACTTAAAGCAGTAATGACCTATCAAGCACGGGCTGCACTGCAAGTCCATTCGTGTGCCCCATCGTTTCAGAGCCAGATACGATTGACTGGGGAGAGGGAGAGGAGGGGGATTTGGACAGCTTCCTTCCTGATCTTGGTTCTTCAGAAGAGGCGAGAAGCGTGCTAAAGCCTCATGCTAGGGTTCAGCTCTCCCACCTCCACACGTGTGGATTCAGCCTCGAACCAGAAAAATTTTACAGCAAGACTGTGTGAACTGACCCCATGACTTCTCTTCACAGCTCTCGTTSCACACAAGAGCAGCCCCCCTCGCTGGAAAGCACTGTCCCATCACAAGGATGCTGATCATCCTCCTCCCCCTTCCGAGTGTGTGGGGAAACTCCCGCTACAGAGTTGACAGCAATGGTTGGAAAAGATAAATTCATTCCCAATCTGGCAAGCTACCAGTTCATTGCAGCACTAGTCATTGATACAGGGCCCCGTCTCCCTCCCCATGCCCTGTCCCGAGGTGTAGCCAGCAGGGTCCCCGAGCACGGCTAAGTGGTCCGCAGGTTGGAGCCTGGAGGGTTGCTGACAGACTTTTGCAAATTGCTGATGTTGAAGCTTTGCAAAGATGTGGCACCTACAGGCTGGAACTGGCCGAGCTGTGGCTGTGCTGCGCCCCCAGGCCCGCTCCAGGGCGGAGGGAAGGACGCTGCTGGGTAACCGTACTGCTGCGGAGGGCACATGGCCTTGCTGAAGGGACCTAAAGAGGTAGCTGATGCTGCAGGGATGGGCGTAGCACCCAGGGAAGATGTCATAGAGATACAGAGCTGACCTGGTGCCGAGAATTTTCTTGCCATTCCAGGACCCTGAAAGATAATCCAACCACCAAGAGAAGTGACATAACTGTGCTTTAAAAACCACCAGTCCACCCCTTGGTCCACAATCCACTCCCAGAGGGTATTTACAAGGACACACCATTGCCCTCCCCTTTAGTTTTCCCCTTGCCTTCCAGAGCAGGCCACACACCCTCCACAGAAAGAGCCAGCTAACAGTGTTCTAGAGCTGCTGTCCCAGAKGTGCTCCAGCTGTGTTTGGAAGCTCAGGGAGACAGAAAGGACAGCCATAGCTCTGGACCATAACCCCTCTCAGATCACACCTCACCTCATAGCTGCTGTGCCCTTTGCCAACTTTCTTTCCAGACAGGTTCATGGCATCCCGGGCCCAGTTATCCACCAGCTTGTGCAGGTCRTCCGTGAAAGTCCCTTTGCGGCTCGAGGCAATGGCAGTGGGCTGAGTCTGGGGAGCCTGGCTGTTCACTGCAGCCCCCACTGTGTTGGTGCTGCTGGTCCCTACAAACACAAAAACAGCAATCACAACTTGGGTCAASGCTCATCTTTCTCTAGTGGTAATGGCACACCAAGAGAGAGCCAGTTAAAATGCCATGCAGATTAATTCTAAGTTTCAATTCCAGGACACACTGAAGTGGGAACTGCAAGGACTCCTACAGGTGTTTTTTCAGATTAAGGAGTGTTTCACAGATATATTTACTTTGCAAGAAGTGCTGCAAGTGGTCATCCTAAGAGGGGAATGGTAACAGCCTACAGGTCTTTGCAGAACAAAAAGGACAGTAGATTTCAGCACTGAATGACAGTACAGGCACGTCGCTCTCTCCTACACCTCTTAAACGGCAGCAACCACTATTGGTACAGGTCAACTCCACCTTGGAGGACAATGCTGAATGTTGAATAAGGAGCAGTAAAATYAGCATTGCCAGCTGCTCTGTAGCAAATTATCTCCACTTTGTGAAATGAAGAGAAAAATTCACCTGGGTTTAAAAAAAAAAAAGGCCCCAGTCAGAAACTGTTATTTCCAATAGCTGCCYGTACTTATGTTCTTGAGGATAACCAGATGGGACTGGCTTCATCCCCCAAAGAGCCAGGATCAGCAGGGAAAGTCTTCACTGCATTGAATTTTGCTTTTTGCCTCTGAAAGCACTTTTTTTGCTATTATGTTCAGATTTCTTAAGTGAGAAGAATAAGCATTTRAGCTACAAACAACTAATACAGCTTAAAGAAGGCAGAAGTGAGAATAGTTCCTTAGATTAACAGGTTTCTTTTTTCACTGCAAGAACACAAAACCCCTTCACATAAATGCCAGGTTTTGGTTCTGCTAGAAAGCTTTCTGAACATTACCCTGTGGGGGGAAAACCCAACCTAGAAGCTTTGTTTTGGATTGCCTTACTATGCCCCTCATAAACAAGCAGCTGCATTTCAATTTAGGTTTTTAAAAGGCAGACCTTGTAATAGGAAGCAAAGAAATTGCGTATTACCCAGGATCCTAAATTCCCAGCAGTATTCCAAAGTATCCTCATTTACAGATGTGGAAGTGCCTAGGGCAGACCCAACAACAAAACCAGCATCAGCAGTGCTAAAGCCAGCACTGCTTGCAAATGCTCATCCTCACCTATTCCTAAAGCTCCTCAAATATTTCTACTTGCTCCCTCAGAAGATTGCACCTGGGAAATCCATCAAAACCTAAATTAATGGCAGGCATTCCTGAAGAAAACCGATTTAGAGGTGAATCAGCAGGAATGACAGCAATGAAYATCGTGTCTCTACTGCAAAGGCCAAATGACAGTTGCTGTCCCTTGCCTGACAGGTACCTTCATCAGTCCCACTCTCCTTGGCAATCAGCCACATTCCTTGCCACCACTGTGTCAAAGAAAGAACTGGTTCCAAACCCCTGCAGGAATGTTTCGTATTGAGGAGTGGATTAGGAAGTTGTGACATACTTACTATGCAGGACAAATAAACAAAGTGTTACTGCCTCTAGTAGTGCTGAGGAGGGAAGGACAYGGATCCATCCCACCAGTTCCAGCTCAAGCATGGAAGTGGCTCCCGGGCTGGGTGCCCACAGGCGGGGCAGGAGTTGTTAGGTGGGGCAGACACATGCGAAAACACACGGAAAGGGAAGAAAAAGGTTCCCTGAGCAGGGAGTGAGGCTGCAGCACAGATGGAGGAACACACTGTGTGRTGCAAGGAAAATCTGCTGTGGAGTAACAAGAACTTAAGGCATGCATCACGTGGAAAAAGCTCTGGGTACAATCATTTAATAAGAGCAATGATGTGAAAGATGAAATTAAAGACAAATGATGCAAAAGCAAGAAAGGAGTACTTGGGGAAGGAGGAACACTGCCAAAACAAGTAATAATCACATTCCACCATGAGGGTTCATGCAGGAATTGACACACTTGCTCTCATCCTCTTCAGGATGGCCAGCATCCACTTGTGCTGTGTCACATTTCCACTTTAATCACTAAATACTCTGGRTCCTGCACCTACACTGGAGAGCTCCCTCAAGCCACAGAAGGAAGACAGTTAATCAAGGCATATACTACAGTACATTCAGCTGAAGTGATGAAAGATCACTCAGGAAAGTTTAAGAGTTTTCAAAAGAACTGATTGGTTCAGGGTGACAAAGGCTGCAAGAGCTATGTCTCCCAAAGTGATTTTGTTAGGGAGCTCCCATCTCAGGTCACAGACATACCAGCCTACAGCATTACAGCTGAGCTCTCATGTAATGTCCATTTAAAACTGACTTCTCAGGAATTCCACATTTTAGCTCTGACACACTCACTGCCTGCAGAAGCTGCCATCCAGAAGAGTCCGAAAAACAGGTGCTTCAACTTRTAGCATTCCATGGAAACAACCCCCCACATTCCTGCTTGGTCACAGCAGCCATCCCCAGTTCTGCTCTGACATGAGGGATCGRAAATGAAACAGGCTCCTCTCTCTCCAGCCCACTACCTATAATGCCTTCATTCTGCCCTTGGATTTTTCCCCCCCATAAACCAGCAGTCAAAAGACACCTTTAAAACAGTCTTATATAACATGTGCACCCACAGGTTTTTCTGAACATCTCTTGCTTTGGGAGACACACTGGAGATCTCTGGTGGCTTACTCTTAGGCTTTTAAAACGTTGGAGGAGTGTCTGCAATTGGATCCATCACCGAGGTGAGGAGCCCCATTAAATCTCAAACCAAGCAGCTGCTCTGAGTACAACTCCAGTGCATTACAGTGAGCAACTGACCCTGCAAGAGCAGAGCTCCACAGTGAAGGGGAGGCTCCGGCAGCCTCCACCTGGCTGCAAGAGCMGTACCAGACTAGTCAATAGAACTAAGGACAGAGTACACATCAGAGGGCATAACACAGACAGACAGATGCTGTGCTGGAGACAGAGTCAGGGACATAAGGCTTCAGTGACCAGGAAAAGCTGATGAATAGCTTTACAATCAGGAATCGGAGATAACAGAAATAAGATAATTACTACAGAGCTGGTTGCAAGGACAGACTTTTTTCACCATCTTCCCTGAAGCACAAAGAGAGAGTAATTTGTTAAAGATAAGAGAAACAGTGAGAAATGTTTAGTATCAGGAAACATTACAAAAAGCTTGGTGAGAAACAGAGGACACAGCACAGCAGGGCTTTTACAGTCACTACTGGGACATTCTACACAAAGTCGAAGACTCGTCTGCTGGTTTAATCACAAACAGAAGAGGCCCAGCCTCCTACATTTATTCTTCTTAATTCCCAAAACATAGTGAAGAATGTCAGRAGACACTGAGGTCACAACTGTTATCACACAGTCAGAACTGTGGCTGTTACCACAAAAGGAAAAGCAAGTACATCTTCCATTTTTGTCAGGACATGAGAAGCATTTTACAACTATGAAATTTCAACCAGCAACAGATTTATTTGATAGGTCAAGTGCTTTCAGTTTGTCACTATCTTTTCTCAGACGTGTGAAAACAGTTCAGACATTCCCTGCCAAGCTGTACCACTCTGTTTCTCCAGCTGCACAGTTAAAAGCATTAATCACTGCACTGTTTCCTCAACACTGCTGATTCCAATCCAGCGTCTTCTCCAGCTGTCACTCTCCACAGCACTCTGCAACAGCAGTTCAAGGACAGGGCTCCAGGAAGCAAGCAGCCTGCAGCAAAGCCAAGTGCCAGGCCAAGCTGAGCCATGCCAAGTATTACCTGCTTCTACAGGACAGCTACAACACACTTTTCAATAGGGATCTGTTTCCCTTAGCATCAGTCCCAAAAGCAAGAGATACACATGCCCATGTACTCTTTTATAGCCAGGTGATGGTCAATTTATAGCAAGCCAAAGCCTTGTAAGTAAATTATACTCACATGTATTCAGTTCATTGTCAATTCTAGAAACAGACTGGCTGTTCTTTATATTCCCTTCCCCAAAACAGGACAGGCCAGACTAAAGATAATTTTTAATTAGCTTTGGTAAGAATTTAACTTCTTCCAAGAAAGCAACATTAAATCTTAAGATTGCAGATGTCAATGCACATCTGCACATTAATATACACAGCAAAAATATTTAAAGCTGCTCAATTTTAAAAAAGCACTTTTAGTGCTTTGAACCCAAATCCAGTGAAGTGGGATAGAGTTRGTGCAAAACTGAACAGCCAAGAAGAAGTTTCCCCTCCCTCTGCCTCCCTTCCTTTCTCAGAGGATGGAGCTCGTTGCATTGCAGCTGTCTCTGCAGAAGGCAGGCCCAGTTCCCACACAGCTCTGGCTCAGCTGAGCCACTGCCAGCCACAGCAAGACAGATGATGCAGATGTGTGGTACTGCCATGCAGTGCAGCGACGGGAGGTCTCCTGATAGCAATCCAAACTTTCTCATATCAAGTCATTCCAGAGGGTGGGAAAAGAATGTCAGACATGTAAAAGATCCAGCTTGCAGAAGCAGCATGGAAAATGTTGCAGCACTCCCAATAAAAAGCATCACAGCAGCAGCTTTGGCTCAAGCGTATTGTTGTTTCAGCCACATCAGAAGTTTGAGGCTCTCTTGTAAATCTCTTGTAATGTAAGCCCAAATGAAAGATTCTGAAAAGAGCTGCAAGCTAACTTGTGAGGGCTGACAGGATGTCTGAAATGTCTACTTACCCACCTTTACTGCTATTTGTTTTACATTAAATGCAGGAAAAGCTTTTACACCTCTGCCTATTAGTAGGTAAGGTTCTTTTGAGTTTGCCTGGAAATATTCTCTAATTATTTTTAAAACCCTTTAACACTTGAMTCTTTAGGCAGCCATCTGTTTATCAATGTAAGAAGTCCCTATGAACTGCCTATAGGTGGCATCAAAGCTCTGCACTGTCACCAGCTCCAGCGCTGAGTGCCTGTGGACACATCCAACTTGTGCTTCAAGGAACGAAACACACTCCCCCCATCAATTACTGCAGTGTCCAGCTAAAGGGTAATTTGGAAAACAAATCTTCCACACTCTTCCAGTAGAAAGATTACCACACTCCCCACAAGTCTCATGTCATCTAAGATATGCTGAAGCTGATTAAAATTACTGATAGACCTTGCTAACTCTCTCCAGTTTGCGTCCTTTCACTGACCTGTTCTGAAAGTTTCCACTAAAAGGTTTAGAGACAATGARTGCTTGTTACAGTGAGTTTAACAACACAGAATACCTAACACAAGAACCCAAACTTCTAAATGCGTGCTAAGAGCAGCTGAGCTGAGCCATGGAATGGGAGGGAATACAAGGTGGCAGATCAGAATGGGCTGCATGAAACAGATCCAAGCAGCAGAAACGGAAACCAAAAAGACAAAACAAAAAACAGACAAGGAAGGAGTAAAGGTGTTACACACAAAGAGCCAAGCAGGGCGTACTCAGAAATCGGGTCCTCCTGCCACCAGGCTTGAAGGTCACTCTCTCAGATGCACAGTTAAACTTCGCACAGCCTGTGAGAAAACAAGAACGGGGAGAACAGAGAAAGGAGAGGAGAAGAGACAGAACACCACTACAAGATGTTAGCAACTTGAAGTTGGAAGGGTGAAATGCAATCACATGACACACAAGAATAAGTCTCAAAAGTGCAGACCAAAGAGTACRGAGACAATATACAGAGTGAAGGGGCTCCCTCCAACACCTCCAGACATGAGACCAAGTCTGCACTGTCACTTAGCAGGACATACCCCAACAGTAAAGTCACAATCTAAAGAAAAGCCAAATCCTGGCAAAAATATCCAATTCTAAAACGGTACTGCACAACTCYAGATGCAGAGAGATGATTCAAGTACCTCCAAAATGCCTGAAACAGTTGCTTAAAAAAAAAACCTCTACAGAAAATTGTTGCGTCAGGTCTTTCCATTTTCTGTATGTACTTCTCCAGTTACAGCAAAACCACACATTAGAATTGATGTATTCAAAGAGACTATGGCAAAGCTTTTCAAAAAGATATGCACGGGGAAAAAAACCTGGAACAGCTAAGTTCAGAGAAGAAAAGGAATCATCCCCTTAACAAGAAGCAAAAAAACCCTCCTTACCAAATATGTCAGAGCTTCGCCTGAGAAATTATTTGATAACATACTAATAACAAGAAACCCACAACCTGAGAAACCTGAGTAAATGAACAATTTACTACTCCCACCACTTCATCCTCCTACACTGACGCTTCTCTCCARGATAATTCACAGTTAGAGAACATAAACCTTTTTTTTTACTTTTTACTGTTAAAAACTACATTGACAGAAACAGCCAAACCAGTTAGGAAGTCTAAAAAGACTCCAAGACTTCAGGTCTTTGGAAATTTCCAACCATTTCAGTTATCTGTCAAAATCAAACCTGTTCTCCCTATTCCTCAGTCTCACTTCTGATTTCCAACCTCCCATTCTCATCTCTCTTCCTCTGAGCCAACACCTTTCCCCAGGTCAGCAGAACTTCACTTGCCACCACCCCACTGCACTCTTTCGTGCTGTCCTTGGGGTTTCATTACCTCAGCCCCCTCACACTTCACCTGAGTGAGAAGCCAGAAATCCAGTTGCAAACAACATCCTTATCAGCCTCCACACATAGCTCTGGGGTCCCCCAGCCTACTTTGCACCAGGAGTAAAAGTCAAGTATCATGAAGCCAATCATTACTTTCCCTTGCTAATGACACTAATTGCATGTAGAGTCTTACCTTGGCCCGGTGCCGAAAGGCTCGGTACCGAGAGGGCACCATCACTGGTGAAGGCAGAGTAGAGATTTTCACTGGAAGGTGAAGGTTTGAGGGGCTGTAACAAATGGTTCTGCCCAGTCTCTGGCACACTGCCAGGAGGATGAAGGGTCTGCTGAGGGGGCAAGACTGATGGTGCGCTTTGAGCTGACAGGTTGCCTAGAGGAAAAAGGAAGGCAGAAAATTTTGGTTTCCACACATTTTTAAATCTTTTGTCATTGTTACCAAGGGACAGAGAAAAAACAGGATAGTTTGACTGGAACAGACACTAATGAAAAAAAAAGATACCATCTTCTGGTCAAGCATGACAATCCAGGCAAGAGAGGGAGAGGCAGGGGGAGAGAACTGCTCCAGTTTCTGAGAAAGCAGTAAGACCAGAAAAATTCTTGAGCTTTAAGACAACTCTCTGCAGGTTTATATGCTCACAGAACTCCTTTATCACACAGCAAAACAGAAGTGAGCAGCCAGGGTGACTGGATACAGAAATCTCAGCATGACATGGAATTACCAAAGTGAAGACACAAGAGRCAGTAACAAATATTTCTGCTGGCACTGCTGGCCCTCCAGTACTGTTTGCTCATGCTACAGGATTAGAGAAACATCTCCAGTTACCCAGAGAGTATCTGTCACCCACATCATTGAATCCGTAAACAGAACTATTTCTYGAGTTCTGTTTATTACAAAAACAATCTCAGTAAGAAAGGATGCCTKMACAACTGAAACTGATTTGCAATTTKTAAGTACTATAAATCTTCAACTCCATTTTAAAAAAGCCTCACTATTTAAACATCCATCAACTGTGACTAACTTTCTGCAGTGTAAGGACAGTAGTACCATCATGCTTAAGTGGTACAAAATCAGAAAAAAAACCTCTTTGCCGATGACTGACCTATTCTGCAAAATCAGTTTCAGGAGGGAAAAAGAAGAGTTTATCTTCAAAAATCAGTTTTCTCCCATACTGTAAATTTACACTTTTCTTGCTAGTCAGAGCCCAATGACTAACATCTAAAAATTACACATCACAACTTTAAAACTGCTCTTAAAGAACAGCATCRCAGTACCTTTCAATGGACTGAAAACGTCCCAAGCAAGTCTACCAAATACCCAAAGTAATTTTCCAAGTGATAAAAGAAATCCAGGGAAGAAATGGCACACTCATCCCCACTCCCCAGAGAAAAGACAGAGAGAGACAGACACAGATGTAAGAATGAGAGATGGTACTTTGTCCATTTTATCTACTAAAAATATTGAAGGAAGTCTTACCTGATAGCTGAGGGCTTTTATGTCCCTGGGAGCTGCTACGACTGGACTTGCTGCTTTTTCCTTTTGTGGGTCGTCTCCTTCTTCCTGAAAGGGGTGCAGCTGGGGGAATAATTACTGCAGGTGGGGCCTTTCCCAATTTCATGTAGAGTGACTCAATCTCCTGCTTCTGGCGACTCTGYAGCTCCTGGATCTCTTTAAGGTGCCTAACAAGTTACAAAACAGTGTGACTTACAAAGATTCTATGTGTAAACACAAAGGCAAACAATTCCTCCCCTCCAGTAAAGCATAACCTGCTTCTTTGGTGAAACTCTCAAACATTTAARGAAAGTTGGAAATAAATCCTTTCCACAAATAACCACTGAACRCACGCGGCAGAACACTTGCCTTTTTCTAGAGTGCTCTAGCCCTGGCTAGAATTCCTAAACAAAGTTCCCAACATTGCAATCACAAAACCAGAATAAACAGAAGTACAAAAAAAGCACTCAAATGTTACAGGAATAGTTAGATTACTCATTTTCTGAGACATACKGCCTTGAAGACTTCTACCCTGGTATTGCCTTACAATTTGTTTCACAGCAGTTGCATACACAGGATTTAAAATTGCCAGCTAGCTTAAAATAAAGTTCAACTTTCAGTATAAATGAATTAGTAGGTCACATTGCTTGACTTCTAATTTTTTTTTTCTGAGCCAACAAGGTCTCCTCAGGAAAAGAACCAYTAGAAACACCAAAAATCCATATTAAAAATGCAGAGACTTGTGTCATTTTCAAACAAGACTCCATTTTTCCACTAACTCCAGTGATACGTCAAATCTTGCTTAGGTCTACAGTCTCATCCATAATGCAGCTGTCAATCTATATCCAACAAGATTACAAGGTAGAAAATTAGGCCCAGCAAACATACATATTCCTCTTTTGTTATAACTGTGTACTGCTTTCCCACCAAAGACTCTTACTTCCCACATCATTGCTGACAATGGCTCCAGACACTTAGCAAAGGCTGAGCCTTTGAAAGAAGTTTACTTTTGTACTTTGTGAGAAGGGAAGTACAGGTGAAATTCATATTAATCACATAACATACATTCCATACATGACTACATAAAGAAAAAGCCTTACTTCTCCCGTAACCGACGGAGTTCCAATTTCAAATCTTCATCTTCAATATCCGACTCATTGTCACTGCTCATGTAGGAAGAGTTGAAGGAGTTGCTAAGGCTCTGAACAGGGAGGCTGATCTTGGATCCCAGGTGCTGGACAGAGTCTGGGCTCCCTGAGCCATCATCCAAATCCTTAGCCATCCCCCTGAGAAAGGCAGCCTCCGGATCAGAGGATGGACCGTTCATGTGCGGGGACTGACTTGACTCCAACTCCTTCTTCGGAGCYGCAGCTGAAGAAGCAACTTGTTCCAAGCCCACAGAGAGAGGAAGAGTCATTGGCTCTTTCTCGGCACAGCTGACCTCATCCTGAGCCTTTGACACGGAGAAGCGCCCCACTTGATCCGCCGTTGTCGTCACCTGGAAGCGCCCGACCTTGGTGGCCTGAGCAGCATCTCCCGGCAGCTGCAGCGCGGGAGCTGCCTGGGAAATGCCATTCACCACATCCAAGGCAGCGTCAGCCACAGCCCCGCTTTTCCGACTCTCAGCCTGCTTTACCAGTGTGCTCTCTGGGCTACTGCCAGAAAGACTTGAAGAATCACTGGAGGTGGTTTCAAATTGCACTGGCTTCGTTTCAGTTTTGTCACCCTCTTTCAGCACATCATCCACTGCCACAGATACCTAGAATAGAAATACAATTATGCAGACTTCCTTAGTTTTTCCTTAACACCATGCTTTTATTTTCCTTCATGGTAAGATGCATCTGAGAGGAGAAAATAACTCATTTCCTAGGTATGCCACAAAGCAAGCTACTGCTTCCCTGCAGGAAAAACACTGCCACACCAAGTAGTACTTGTGTGTTATCTAGAGGATTAACTCCAAGGAACAGCAGCCTCAGAGGAGGCCTCCTTCATCATGAGGAGGTGAACATCAGACAGTGAACATCCCAGCCAACATTCACTGTCAGTGAAAGAGCAGCCTAACACTAAAGACCAAGGCCAACAGCTAAGGCTTGCCACAATTCTAGACCTGGACAGACTATGCAATCTCTGCCCTGAACGAAAACAGCACCTGCAGAACTGTTTTCATGAACTCTGCATGAACATTCTGTCCTGACAAAGTCCACACAAGGCACACCGAGCTGGCACAACCAGAAACCACTCAAAATTCCTGAACCAAGAGCCAAGAGGGTTTAGCATCTCTTACCTGAAATCGTCCCATCTTCAGCACACTGGCTCCKGCTGTGGTAGCCACAGCAATGCTCTCTCCATCACCTGATGCCAAAGCTAAGGAAAAGAACAATGGGATTAAGRAGACAATGAGCAACAGATTATTTGAAATCCAACCTTTCTTTTTATATACTTCAAATTCAACTATCTGTTAACTCCTAACAGGTCTTTGGACTCATAGCAATATATTAATATTAAAATACTAGTTAAGTTGAAGCATTTTTCTACAAAGCTTCCCTGCATAGTTATTTGCTGAAAGTGCACTTTCAGGCAACAGTAAAAAAAGCCCACAGATTTCAAACAGGGATGTGAAATAGAAAATTAATGAAAAATAGACTGAAATTTATGCAAAAAAAAGCTTATTTTAATTCAGTACCCAAAGCAGCTACCTAAATTTCACCAACACTGGGGACAATTGATTAATAGAAAGGGGGCAAGTTGAAGATATGCTATAAACCACATTTACTCAAAACCGTTTATCTGAAGTTTTGCAARCTGGATTCTTAGGTGTCAGCTCCTAATTTTGTTGCTCTGTGCACAGGCAGTATAAGGTTACAGAGCTGAGAAATAACATTCTATTTTTAAAGCAGTTCTATTGGACAGATTGCTCTGTTTATTAAGCAACTTCCCAGTTTGTTTACTTTTATGTTCTAAATTTAATAGACAAAAATCAACTCATTTTATAGCAGACTAATTAATTCTACATTGTAGTTCACTATCAACGTCCCAAAAAAAGAATATTAAATTTATTTTCCTTCAAGGTTTTATTAGCGTCTGAAGGTTTGTCGTTGAACTTCAGAGGCACGTGCATGTTAAATAGTGTTTACTAGACAGTCGAAGAAAAAATTTCAGCACCATATTAACAGCTTGTTTTTAAAATGGAAGATTTCAAAAATTAAAACAGGTGARTACTGACAGGAAAATCTCAGACTATTTTGCAAGTGTTTGGATTACCCCCTCCAATAACTCAATTCATATAGATTTGAATGCCATTGATCATCCAGTCTTCAGCTGGTGATCATCCAGCCAACCTTCAGTTGCTCTAAAGTAGCCAGAAGGATGCCTGGGTTTCCTACTACCTTTCCTAAATTTTTGGTAGTTTAAACTTGGTTCTCTATTTAAACAGAAATTAAACACCCTTAGGTAAGGGAGAGGTATCCAACGTGTAGAACACAGTGTAATGACACAAAATGTGCCCTACCATTGCTGCCAGGAACATAACACATGATAGAAAACAGTTTCTTCAAGTCCTGAGGCTGTAACCTAGCAGCACAGTGGAGACTCWTTGTGAGTCTTAATTTAGCATTTTGGACAGCTTTAAACCCTAAATCACTCACTACAATATGCATGTATCTATCATCCCCCACTCCTGGCCTACAGGGGAAAGTTACAGTCTGGTTACTAAAAACTAACATGATCCCCTCAAGGAGCTGCCATTCCATGACTTACTAGAAAAGGCTATAACCTTCCAAATGATTACACTGTTCAATTTGGGATTCTATCTCCATGCAGAGAAACCATCTAAAGTAATCATGGCTGTCTTACCATCCTTCAGAGACTGYGTTGCTGTGGACACTGGCCCAGTAACCGTTGTTGATGCTACTGAGGGCACAGACTGCAGGTTCAAAGGGGGAAACAARAGAAAGTTAAATTAAAATAATTAGCAGTTCCATTGAATGCCAACAAATATAACATACTGCATATTACATGATTTTTTTGCTGCCAACAAACACAAGTGCAAGATGAGATTTATAACCCTGAGGCTGTGAGCAGACCACCCCTTGGCCTGTGCAGAAATAAYGCATAAATAGCCACTTGGATTGTCAAACACTGTCTTCATTTCATATCCAAAGCCCATTACTAGAAACTTTCAAAATTTCAGATCCCTCCCAAATTAAGACTGACACATCACATACTGCTTGTTTAGTGCWCTTTCCCCTTATTCCATCATTACTTCCCTCTCTAGTTTGGTGACATTGATGACATCACCAGAAAAGCTGGAATCACAACTAATAACAACAAAAAACAGCCTCAGGAAATTATGTAATCTATTGCAATATACAGACTCTTCCGATTTTGGTTGACTCACTCCCACAAACTGGAAGATGACTCTCGATTTTTATTTTTAAAARTCTGACTACTGGTGTAGTGATATTAAAGGCAGTGACCTAACAACATGACTTTAAGAAAACACTGAGTTTTCTCAAAACTACTAAACCACCAACATTGCAAACATACACAGGCAGGAGCAGATGTCACTGGGACAGTCTCTGGACTAAGRGTTCTTCTCAGCTGAGCATCCAGATCTTCCAGGGGCTGTTGGGACTGAGAAAGAAAAGAGTAAAACARTGTCCCAGCTCAGGAAAAATATATCGTAGCAGAGAAACAGACATATTTAGTACCAAAATTTCAAGCACCCAGTGCAGCTTCCATATTTCTATACAGCTTCCTACATATTCAGATTTAACAGCACATTAAAACTGGAAGCAATTTAAGCAACATATTTGTTTAAAAACAACAGAATTAACTAGAAAATTAACTGGAAKATTTWAAAAAAAAAGAAAGAAAAAAATTCCACAATACCACTCAAAACTGATCAATCAACAAAAAAACCCCCATACTAAAATTTCTCTCAGAGGGGCTGTATGGATGGATTAACTTGAAGAGAAGGGAAAGGAGCAGAATCTCYCAAGGATGCTTATTACTTAGATTTCGGCTGTTTCAGATGGCATACAAGATGTTTTTCAAACTTGGCAAATTGAATTGGGGAGAGGAAGAGAAGGAGAATTACCTAAAAATATCTTCAAGATAAAAAAAAACGTCCCAAAGTCTCAAAATGATTAAATTTTGAGGACCATGCCAGTAACACATACTGAAAAAACAAAGTGCTGTCAGATACCATTAAGTTGCAATTCTGACCCTACAGAGCAGAAATTCCTATTCAAACTTTAGCATTACTAATCTTTCAGAGCCTTTTGCATTAAAAAAGCTGTATCTGTTTTTAAAACTGAGGCAGAGATCATGACAACATAAAAATACTACTTTCTACATTCAAAAAAGTGAAAGTTAGAGGTACACAACAGCATAAAGAAGCTTTTAACAAGTTGCCAGGATAACATTCTTCCTGAATTGTGGATTTCAAAGCAAAACCAAAAGCAGGAACAATAAAGCCTGTGTATCAATTCCATTATTTAAAAAAATGCAGAAGATGCAGACTTCTATGACTCCATTTTAAAGGCCAAATGCTTAAAGACAAGTGAGCTAATTTAATCCAATACTGTCAAACAAAGGAGACATGTCACCTGAAATTCCAAGTAATTCTCATTTTATGCTCACAAGAAGATATTTGCTTCAAGTAAACAAAGAGCTATCAGAATGACTAGGAAATAAAGATTTCCTTATGAAACAAGGGGACCAAAATGAAGTTTGAGAGATTAATCTAAACACACTTTAAAAAGCAATTAAGGAATAAATAGAACAGGTATTGAAGACTATGGAACAGACTGTTCAAAACTGGTCTTGAGATGACGTGTAATCTGCACATTACCAGTCTGCTACTAAGGAAAGGAAAAAAGTTGTGTAATGACCTACTACTGACGGAAGCAGCACAGAAGGCAAGCCTATCTACTTTATGACAAGCCAGTAATTTTCCAGATAGTATTATGTGATGCCAGCAAATGCTCTTAACAGTCAATTAGATTYGATTCAGTTGGTCTCCTCCAATTTTGTCTCACTCATAGACAATCCTTATGAGTTCAAATGAGAAGTGAAATTTGGTATGTTGTTTGCAAAGGACAAGAAGCAAGGGATCTATATTTGTGACTCTTCCATGCCACAAATCTTGCCAGAAATACCTATGATAAACAGGAAGAAGCCTTTTGCAGTGGTACKCTGGTTTGAGTCATAGAAGTGGCTACAAATGCTTTTGAGCTTAGGGGAAAATACTACTAATATGTTGAGTTTCTAGCAATGAAAATGAAAAAAGCTATGAACTCCATGTGACTGATTTTAACCAGCTGTCTCCTGATCCATGGGAAGAATGCGGGTAAGAATGATCACTACATTGCTGATATCTCCTCTTCAGTAAAAGCATGCTTTAGAAAGAACTGACTAAAAAGAAAAACCAGCTTCTGCCTCTGAAGTCAAGGCATAAAAAACAAGKGTTGCTTGCTAACAACTCAATCATTCAGCTATCTTCCTTCAGTTTCTTGCTCCGTTTCCTCACTGCTTAMAGGGCAGGAATACAGCCTACGACTCTAAGATCAAGATGTAAAAATGCGCTACTTTCAGAAAAGAATTCAGTTGAATAAACCTTTTCCCTTCCAAATTCAGTCATCATCTGACTTAGCTGTGCAAACCACACAGAATTACAGACTGGGTCAGGTTGGAAGGACCACAGTGGGTTGTCTGTTCCCACCATCACTTATATAAAAAATAGCCAAGCTAACTGTTGTATACAAGGACAGAAGCTAGGCAGGAGAGGCCACTGCAGCATTTCAACTCATGTTTATCATGAAATGCTTCAAATATCTTTTGCAAATCTTAAAGCCTGGTGAAATCAGAATGCACTAATAATCAMAAAACAAACCAAACAAATTTAAGAAAAGAACAAACAAACAAACCCAAGCAAACAAAAAAAACCCAATCCCAACAAAACCAAACCAAAAGGCAAGCACCAAAAGAAACAACCAAAATCCAACATCTCACAAGGAATTCACAAAGGCAGCAATTTTACATTTTCATAAACGTTTCATGGCAATATATAGTTTTCCATATTATTTTGCTACTATACCCTTTTCAAGAAGAAAACAGGTTCATGTTTTATGTACACATTCCCCTGCATTATAGTTAAAAAAAAAATAAAACCAACAAGCTTTCAAGTTCAGATTAACACCTGAAAAAACCCTAAGCCTGATTAATTCTTCCTATACTTCAGACACTGGGTACAGCAYCCCAAAAGGTAAGCTACATAAAACCATAGAATGGTTTAGGTTGAAAGCACCTTAAAGATGATCTAATTTCAGCTCCTTACACTAGACSAGGCTGCTCATACCCAGTGCTGAAGCCACTCTGGCTACAGCTATAGTTACACAAAAGGGGTTACTCAGTCAAAAGAAAAGAAAAACAGGAACATTAAYAACATGCAATTGAGAGTTTAATTGAAACATGCTCTCTGAAGGGAAAAGAAGCAGATAAAATCTGCCAAGTTGTGTAGCACCTGAGTTAGTGAAGGTCCTGGAAAAGGTGGCAGCTGCTCACTGGATGGAGTGCCAGCCGGAAGGTCAGAACCTATTGGTAGCACCTATGGATAATGAAGAGGAAACGCGCGTCCATCAGACATGGAACAACAGAAGGATCAGATACCAAGCTACACTCAGTCATGTCATACAACAGAAGCTTTAACTTTTTTCTTTGGTAGAGAATTCCTTCCTGGACAGTTAGCACAGAKTCTTTAGGGTTTTTTTGCAACCAAGGTGGGGGAAGTTGTTTGCTTTGTTTTTATTTTATAATCCGGATTATCTYTGAGCAGCCACAATTTCCAGTTCAAACAAGCTGCAGTATCCAGGAACAAAGTGTCTTGGGATATTATTATCAAGTCTGGAAGAAATGCTAAAATAATTCTTCCAAGAAGCCTAATTTATAAAATGGTGCAAGAATGCACTCAGTCTCATCTATGTTAACTGTCCATTAGAAACTGCAAGCTGCATGCTTCTGGTAAATTGTTCCAAGCAATATGACTTGAGAACAGGAACTGTCAGTGCCTGAGGATGTCTCCACTTGTTGAGAAACAGATTTATAGARCTTTCACACCAATCTTTTGATCCACCACTTCTTTTTGAACCTGAAGGGTGTTGACGACCCACAGAAGGTGATTAGGCCATGAAACTGGGTAGGGGGAAGTCATCCAAGTTACATGGAGGARGTTAGAGAGATTCAAAAGGTTAGAAGGAGGCATCAAAGCCTCCTCACCAGGTCAGACAGCACATTCCAGTTAGTCATTTCCATTGTTAGGGAAGTGGGAAGTTCTAGGAATTAAGCAACCCATGACACARTTTGCAGTTCTTATTGTCAGCTGTCATCTTGAGTTTTTGCCAGTGCCTCTGAAGTGTGAGTACACCCACAGCCCCAGAGTTCGAGCACTGCTGGACAGGGGCACTGCTCTGCAGTCTGCTCCAGTCCTCAACAGTCAGAGCCAGCTCTGGCTTGCAGGATGTCACCACAGCTTAAACCAATGGCTCACACTGCAGGAGCCCAGGGAAGATGCACTCCCAGAGTTAGCTATCCTCCCAAAAACACTGCAGCAGGAACTRGGCCATGTTGCATTAGCTCATTTTTGTGCAGCAGGAACACACATGAAGATGTTACCTGTTTTGAGGCATGGTGAATTTTTAAGCTGTGGTAACTTCACCATTTAGTTTATAAATAAGAGGCAAAACATACTTTAAATACATTTGTAAGACAAGCTGAAACACATTTAACTGTCTAGATTAACAGTTTGGTCATAAACAAAATAAATACAGAGACAAAGTTTAGCAAACCCMAGAAAACTAAAGCAATAAGCTCCTTAATGCTCAGCAGCAAACAACATAAAAAGTGAAACTAAAATTAAGCTTTGGAAAAAAACWAACTAATTTATAGAAGAAAACTTCAGAAAAGAGGTAGGCTTTCTACAACTGACAATCAAAACACCTATGACATTTATTACTTTTAAACCCAAGCCTCTGTAATTACAGGTTTGCAATTAGCAATTTTCCAACTGCTCCAACTGTTCCTGAATGAATACCAGTTTCCATCTTTCTCTAACCTTTCTTTCCAATTTCAATTAAAATTTTCAATTTCATTGAAATATTAATGGACGCCTTTGTGTCTAGATCTCCTTATCAACCTTTCTGGCACATATTCAAACTGTTTAATGGCAGGAATTTTCTATTTTCTTTTAATACAAAGAGTACATGGAAAGACTACCAATGATGCTGGGAGCATTGGCTCTATTTAAATGGCCTGAAACTGGTTAATAGCAAGGCTGGCTAAAGAYAACCAACACAAARKKKT